CCTTTCCTTTTAAAGGAATTTTGATACAGCCTGACAAAATGCTCAGGTGCCCGACATTCATTTTTCCAGTGACCTTTAAGGCCACAACGATGACAGTGATCACCCTTTCCCTTTGAAGGATTATTTTGAGAACTCATATTGTACTCCCTTTTGTTATGACCACCACTTTGATGATTATTATATCGTCTTTTACCCTTGCCACGCCCACGCACATTATGATGGCCCCGATTGTTTTGTCTTATTTAAGACTGGTTGTGTGCTTCTGCCCTGTGTGCCTTCGGTAATGAAGCACTTCCAGCAGGACGAATTTCATGATTTTTCATTAAAAGGTCATTATGCTACTCAGCAACCAGAAGGCATGAGATTAATTCAGAGTATTTTTTAAAACCCTTTTCACGGTATTGTTGTTGTAATATCATATTGGAGGCATGGAAAATAGTTAGTGTCTTTTTCAACATGTCCTCATCTTTTATAGTTTCCCCACATAATTTTAATTGAGAAGTGATTCTAAACACAACAGAGTTATACTCAATTACAATTTTATAATCTTGAAACCGTAAGTGCATCCACTCATAATGAGCCCTTGGCAATACCGTTGCCTTGAGGTGGTCATACCTCTCTTTCAAACCTATCCACAATTCAAGTGGATCTTTCACTGTTAAGTATTCAACCTTCAGGCTTTCATCAAGATGATGACAAAGGAAAATCATAGCTTTCGCTTTATGATTTCCTTCGATTATACGATCACCAAGACCCTTAGCGGTAAGGTGAATTTCAGCATCAAGTACCCATGACAAATAGTTCTTTCCAGAAATGTCAAGTGCCACAAATTCAAGCTTTAACAAATTCGACATGATGAAAACTATCATAAAATAATTGAGTTAATATTATGATGTTGGTTTGTTTATTATAAATGACAAATTAATACTTTAAATAATAAAGTATAGGATGAGTATAAAATATATTATATGCATGAACATTAATGTTAGAAAAAAATATAAACTCATGAAGCATTGAAACGGTAAGAGTTAAATATATTTTCTACTTGTTTTAAGTATTTATTACTAGTTTCAATTAACGTCAAAGTTTAGTAATAATTTCAAGTTATATTTAATACAATACTATATTCTTTATGACACACAAAATGTATGACAAGAAATTAGTTACGAGTATTCTAACTATCATGTTATCATATTGCTTAGTATTTAATTTAGAATTATACGTTAGTAGCATATAAATAACATAACAATATAAACTTGAAACGTATTAATTATTATGCCTAGTAAAGTATCATAATAATACCTAAAGCAAGTTATATATGCAGTAATTAAAATACATATTAAAGATTTATGCAAGTCCTATTAGAGATGTTATAAACACATAAATTTATACCTGACTCTAAAAGAAAATTGATTAACTTTTAGGAAAAAAAGATAATCCCAAATTAAGTAGGTCTCAATTGGTTAGAGACTTGTGTTGATAACGTGTTGTAAAATAAGAGGAAAATGCAAGAATACTTAAACAAGAAAGTAAGACAAAGTGTGAGTTGAGAGTCTTATTTTAATCTCTTCAATTGTGTCTTTTACAAGGGTGAAGACTCCCATTTTACAGGATGTTCAAACCATCCTTTTACAACATTTAACAATGCGTTACTATAATATTTAATTAATATAATAAATGGAAACATTACGTTAGGATAGATTAAGAGAAACATCAACACAATTAAGTGGATTTGTAACACTTCTAAGGATAATAAAAAAAAGTAGAAACAATATATTCAATTATGTCTTGATTTTCTAAAACGATAAACATCATAGATTATTTATTTTTAATAAGGATGATAAGTATTTAAGAACGGAGAGACTATATCCTTACATATCTGATTAAGTTACAATTTGCACTATTTCTCCCTTGTACTCCCATGAACATACAAACATCGTTTGGGATAGTTCGGCCATTTGTGAGCTAAATATTCAGTTTGATTTGTGTTTTAGAGGATTCCTATTGGTATGTGATGCCCAAAATATGTTTGTTCTGGATTCAGATTCATTTTTAATATATTGATCAAATAAAGATGAACGAATAGGGAGTACATCTTAAAAGAGCACACATACACTATATATATTATGTTGTTGAAGAAAAATACTTCTATATATTTTGGAAAAAAACAATATTATTACTAATTTGGTTATTTATGAAATTTTTTTAACGAAAGCTGTCAAAAGATTTCATACTGTTGAAACGAAAGACAACATTTCTACGTGTTGTCATAATAAACATGTCATATCATTTCGTTTCTACTTTAAATTGAGACTTTTATTATCACAAAAGTAAAGTAAATAAAAACAGCTAAAAAGGGAAGCAAAGCAACTCTCTTTTCATGCTCATTAACTAGAATCATAAGATCTACTTGTTTTTTTCTTGTTGCAACTACAAATTTCCTTTTTCATCATTTTAATTAAATATCATAAACTAGAATATATGCACGATCAGAAAAAAAGGGAAGTTTTTAACTGTATATCTTTTTCTCTCAAAAGTACTTGTATAGAGAGTATGTCCAAAATGTTATCCAATTTGTCAGAGTAGTAAGCAGCTTTGACTTTTTAGTGTTATGCTTGATATTTTTCCGAATTAATGAATTTTGAAGTTTATAATAATAATTTTAAATGATGATAATTGGATTTTAAACTTAATATTTATATATATTTAATAAAATACAAATATATTATTTAAATTAGTGGCGAAGTCAGAGCGTTAAGGGTGTCAAAGATTTAATATATATATATGGAAAATATTGATTTATATATTTCGTATAACTTTCTAAATAGATAATATAATATTTTGACGAAGAGTGTCCGATTGATCACTCTAAACTATATATGACTGTCGATCCAACTCACATGCGGACTACTAGTTTCGTAGTAGGGACGTTTGTTGGATGATAGAGATGGAAGGCTAAAGTCAACAGAGTGTGATGGCATTAAATGGGATGTGAAAGTTGATGACAAAAAGTGGGAGAAGTACTGTCATAAATTAGAACCGTAGACTTGTTGGGATAAGCCTAAAGTCCATGCAGTTTAAATAGTATTCACAATGTAACGCCATATAAATTTGGTCACATGCATTGCTGTTTTAGAAGCATTTATGATTTTTATAATTTATAAGAGATTATATTATTGTAGTCAAGTGGACTCCCTATATTTGTTAATTAGGAGCATCTTTTCTAAAGAGATATCGTACATGTCTAATTTCTGTTGAAATTACTATTCTTTTCGTCCCAATTCAATTATATGACGATGATGTTTGATTGATCATATAATTTTTAAAAAGTATTTGAAATTTATGATTTGTAATACGTCATGCAAACGTTTAATTAAGAATAAAGTTATTATTATTAAATATTGGAAAATAACTTTTAATTAAATGTTGATTAAGAAAAATATCATGTAAATTAGAATGAAAAAAGTTTGTATATTAATTGGCCATCAAAATTGAAGGCTATATTTATATCTATTTGAATGAATTGTAGCTCAATTATTTTTCAAAATTTGACTTGTGTCCTTTGAACCTTCTGGTTGAGTGATTGATGGCATAGAGGCTAGAGTGGAATGGGTCCGGAAAGAAAAGTCTATATCTTATGCGATAGGTTCAATTCAGAAGGTAACGAAGGGAATTAACTCTCAATTATTCATGTGGAGGACCACCCTTCAAATTAAATAAGTCAATTCAAAGGACTCTATTCCGATTTTATATATTATGATTATTGACTGTTGTGCTTTTAATAAGCAGTTGAAATTTGTACCTACACTCTTGTATGCATCTTATTCAAAAAGGTGTCGATTCACGCTCCTTCACTAAAATATTATATTATGTTATATTTTTATATATGTGTACCATTACATGTTAAATTTTTTAAATTTGTTTTATATATTTTGACTCTTTTTAGTTAAATTTCTAACTTTGCGATTACTTCGTATGTGTTGTTTCCTAATTAAAAATAAGATTACATGTATTCTTCTCCTCTACTTTGTTTATCTTTTTCTTTTATTTTTTTCAGCATTTGATGATCACTTCGGTTTACCTAATAATGATCTTGATCTTAATAAATGAGAGTTGACTGCATTTATTCGAAAATTCAATTATCTACACTTATTGGATCAGTCTACAAAAAATTCACTTTACATAAACTCATAATTGACATATTCGAGCCAAAACCTTTTATATACTTTTTAGTCTTGTTTTTATACTTCTCATTAGGGTTGCTGACGGAAATATCGATAAAATCAAAGAAAATAAATAAATATCGATAAGTACTTTTTATGTTTGGTTTAATTTTTAATTTTGAATTTAAAAATTGATAATATATGATTTGGTATTGATTTTAAACAAAAAATAATAATCAAACCAAATCAACAATATAAAAAACTATTTAAAAAGTATACTTGCGCGTGCACACACACAAGTGTGTGTTTATTTTTACATAAAATTTTATGGTATGGCATATTGATTTTTATTTTTTTGCGCTAGGTGTTTTCCTCAATATAATTTGATTAGATATATAGTTTCTCTAGTTCGATAAAAACTAAAGCAATGAAAAATTGACTTAATTGATTTGATCTAATTCTAACATTTGAGAATTTGATCCAACCCCGGTCATGAACACCCGCTCCTCATTAATCTCTAACATGGGCAAATCCACACCATGCATATTTGAAGATTGCTCACAAAGTCACAATAAAGCAAATGTTTGAAAGTAACATATATATCACTGCAAGAAAAATCGTTTTTTTTTTTCAATAAACCAATGCGTCGCAAAATTTATTTTATACTTAAATGGATTTGCCACAATCAAGTTGTTTATATTGTCATCAAACAGACACTATAGCTTATCTGAGAACCAGCATCATTAATCATTCAACTTAGTTCATGAAAACTACAAGTGTGACTACCTTTCTGAAGCCTAAAAAATTAGAGCTCATAACGAAAAAGTTAAAACTATGATTGATAGCCACAAAATCAACTACTTAATTTAAATAGTGCTAGCTTTACAAAAACATCCACTCTTGGTTTTACCCCTGGAGAAACTAGACCAAGTTGGACTTGTGTAGGATACAAAAAAAATAAGCAAAGCCAAGCGTGGTACGCGAAATTTGTCCATCACTTAGCACAAACTTCAGTTACACAACACCTGAAGGAAGGCGCAAAACTAGCTGTCCTCCAAAAACACTGCAATACATTCACAAAATAAGAAGGATATGGTCAATAGAGAAGCATTTTGAAAAGCAAGGAAGGCATGGGATGCTGATATTCAACCTTTTAACGTAGTAGTAACAGAAGTCTGCTAAGATGAATGTCTGAACAACTTCAGATATAAGCACCATTGAAGGCCATAGACCATGACCCAACGCTACTAGTAGATGGCCGTTACTGTCCAAAACCTGTCGTCAGCCCAAGAGAAACTTAGAATGTTAATAGAAATGAACAGCATGCATGCAAAAATGGATCTAAAGGTGACAATCTTCCTCAATCTCTATTCGTAGACTTAAGTTACAGCTATCATACAAAAAAGGATACATTGTTCAACAACCTGAAGATGTTTTTAAAGGTCCTTCATCAGTTCCTACAATGTAGTCAGTACTAGGTGCACAACCTGACTTTGTGCGAATTAATAAAACTGACACTTAAACATGCATGATAAGGCACTTATCAAAATCTAGGACAAAGTAACCAAAACCACATATCTACTCATTTTTACTTCAACTAAGACTTCCAATCCCTGCTAGTTCGAATCATTATAGTAGCCAAATAAGATACTGCGTCTACACCAAATATGAAGAATGGAAACCTTGTCAGTGAAAATTTACGTGATTTGTGCAATTTTTTAAGTTTGCAAATCAAACCTGGAGAATCCAATGAGCGCAGCTTAAGAACCTCGCAACACCCAAAGCAAATACATAGTGAGCCGTGAATGGTTCAACTATCTGTAGACAATATACCAAGTATGTTGTCAAAGCTTACAAGAACATTTGATCAGAACAGCAGTTTTATGAGAGCGAAATCTGCATGTTCATCAACAATAATCAGTAATTATACCTGAGTGTTTTGCATGACACGAAGTTGAGGAAGCACAGAAACCGCCTCCAAGTAAACACAGAAAGCCCAGAAGATTCTATTGATCAAGTGATGTGATGTTGATGGATGAATTAGTAAGGCTAAGGCAGCACAAGGGATCCCCTGGACAAAAGTGGGTTAAAACAATTTACTTCTAAAAGATAAGCCAGAGAAAAACTCTATACAGCATGCATTACAGAGAATCATGCAACCGAAATCTTAAACAATCAAACAGAGAATAATAAAGATGATGAAATATTGGTAACTTTTTAGGATAAAGTAAACATTTGAGATCATTTCTAGTTGAAGTTTTATACAACTTGACATGGACTACTATACACAATACTCAAATGCATTCTTACAAAGGGACTTCACTTTACAAATGTCATCATCTTACAAATCTGCCTTCAGTACAAATGACAAGATAATTTGATCTTAAGGAATATTACAAAGAGAGATCAACCACACATGGATCTTCTCTAATCAAATTCCTAGTTTTCTCTATCTTTTTCATTTGCCATTAACCAAGTAAAATTGTAATTGAATTGAAACAATTATTCAACATCATCACAAATACAGTCTCGCTTCACTAGTACATGTATAAGCGGTATCTGGTAGCTATATCTATCAAAGATCAGTACATCAATCATCAATGTATGGACTACCAACTAGACCCTGAATGAAGCACATATAAAAGTGAGGTTGTTTGAAGACTTGCCACATAATAAACTGAACAATTGTCTTTGTCCTCCATGTAACTTGATTCAAGTTTAAATCGGATCATAAAAATAACCCACAACGTTGTCGCCAATGTAGCTAAATCAAGTAAGGTATGTATATCATATTCCATGACAAAACTACAATACAGTCTGACAGCCAAAAACAGAGCAGTGAGCTCCTGGGATTTGAGTGAAATCCCTGCAATAGTATGAGAGTTACAAATGATCAGTGGCACACAAAAGATAAAAACTAACATGGCAATCAGGAAAACCCAGCCATAGGATTGAATCCGGATAAAATTGAGAAATAGGTTTCCTTTATTATTTTATTTTTTAAAATCTAGTTTATAAACAACAAGAACAACATACCCAGTGTAATCCCACAAGTGGGGTCTGGGGAGGGTAGGATGTACGCAGACCATACCCCTGCCTTTGTGAGGTAGAGAGGTTGTTTCTGATAGACCCTCAGCTCAAAAGGGAAGTATGTGACACAGATTGAAATAAAAGAGACAACAAAGTAGCAAGATACAAACAAATGCAGCGACAGATAGTAATACACATCAAAGAATACAAACTATGAGCTAATTGAATAATACTACTAAGAGGACAATAGGAGGCTAGCCTACACCTCTCCCACACGAAAAACGGCAACACTCAGCTACCTACTAACCTTCTACCTTAATCCTCGACCTCCATACCTTCCTATCTAACGTTATGTTCAGATGAAGCTGTGGATATGAGGAACAAAACTCAAAAACTATAATTAACAGATATAGAAGAGTACAGAGCAATTTACTAAAGAATAACAATAAGATAAATGCTATCTCATGTGAAAACTAACAAGGGCCACATGACCATGAAAAAGTTACAACATTCTATCAATAATTCTACTACTATCGCCTTATAACCCATCTCAATAGCACACACTGATTTTCAACATGTATGAATTATAATTATGAAGTATTATGATATATAGCACAGAAATTGTGAAAAAGGCTTTGGCGTTTGTGGAAGTTATTTTAAATGGAAAACAAGAAAAGATGCTCTCACCATTTATATTGCAATGCAACAAAAATGAATTTTGATATTATATTCAGAGGCCAAGTTAATCCCCATAAAAAAGATTGATTGTGAATTGGCATTACACAAGATTGTTGGCCTAATGTAGAGAATCACACATCTAGGTTAAGTCATCTAAGAAACATGAAAGCAAAATAAGTGGAGAAAAAGATGAGTGTTATGGGATTTTCATGCATAGGACAAGACCTAAGTAAAAGGCAAATTTTAGAGAAGAGTTGTGACACCAGCAATGTTATATGGAATAATTGTTGTGCTTCTAAGGCCCAACAAATCCACAATCTGTATGTTGCAGGATTCAAATGTTAAGATGGAAAAGAGGTTATACAAAATCGGACAAGACTATACATGATCATATTCGACAAGAGTACAAATATCATAGAAATGATAAAATGCGAGAAGGACGACTCAGATCATCTGGTTATATCCTTATGCAACAGTTCTTAGGGACGCCATTATGATAGTTGAAGGTGATATAACGAGGTATACCTAAGATCTCAGGGAAGAAAATTGTCTCAGAAAGTAGACAATCAAAATTAATATGGATTTAGCTACGAAGATATTATAACGGAAGCAAATGATCAAAATAGGAAATCACACTATTTGAGATTAAGGCACATTTGTTGTTGTTATTCTTACACAAATCTGGTCTTCTTATGCTGGTTAGACACTTGCATGTCCGCGTAAAGAATATGAGTTCCAGAGAATCTCCAGTTTTAGATAACTCTTAATTAGCCTTAAATATCAATCATTTAGTATTGAAATTAATGGGCCTGAATAGAGCAAAACGAATACAGAGGATTCATCCAGCCAACCCCAACTAGTTTGGGGTTGTGGCATAATTGATAAGTTGATTGATATGCCAAGTTGTGAGATGTAAAGAAACTGAAGGCAAGTAAATGCTGTTCAGGCACTTATGCTTCTTTGAAAAAAAAAAACAATGCTTTAGGAAATAGGAATCTCATTCTCACAGACTGTCACTACCAAAGATCCCGAGAGCAAATGCTCGACCTCCTCTTCACCTGCATTGGTGTTTATTTAGAAAGAATGTAGAGGACAGAATTGTCTGAGAAGAATCATTCAATCATTTCCCACCATCTATTCCAATAACCACAAGATGCCAGACTGTCAAATCGCTAGCCATTAAGGTAGCTGCAGATAAAAACAGTCTCCAATATGTTTTCATACAAATGCAAATGATTCATTACTAATATAGCTGATTCAACCAACCCAAAGGTTAATATAGGTATAGGACACACGCTTTTTGCATAGTCCAACTATGAAACTGGTACCATACAATTCATCAGTCACATTCATTACGTCAAAGACTCCACAAAATCAATATCATCCAATACAAGACTCCACAAAATCAATATCATCCAATACAGCAATAGGTGGACTACAAAGGCCTAGCATGCAAATAAAACTAATAAGATTCAATGTAAAACCCACATTAAACGAATTCATCAAGAAGACCATAAAACTCCGCAATGTGAACTTTGCTAAGCATAGACGGGATTACAGGAGGAGGGTTGCAAACTTGCAATTGTAAAAATAGTCTAAAAATGATAATTCCTAATAGTAATCTAAATAAAGCTGAATGAGTTCAGATGATTGAAACAGCTAATCCATACTAGTTCAGAAGGTTGAGCTGATTGATCAATAAATTAGTATTCTTTTTCAAAATTTAGTTAGGAATCGAGGGCCTTTCCAAAAGAGTCTATCTACCGTAGTGGTAAGGTCTGCACACATTTTACCCTCTCCAAACTTCACTTGTGGGATTTCAATGGGCATATTGTTGTGTCTTTTGCAAAAAGGTTCTAAATTTCAATCCAAGACTACCAATCAATGCAGATCTCCTAAAAGCACCAATTTTCGATAACAATATATAAGCAGAAATAGAATGTGGGATTGTTACCAGCACAAGTTTTCTCTTTGGTGAGCTTATAGATAAGAACGGAGATTCCGATGGCGTGAACAGCCTCGGCGGCGACGAAAAGGTTGTCGTGATCGTGAACAATGGCACGTAGCAGCACCAGAACTGTCATGCCGGCGACCACCGCCAGAAAAGCCTTTACCTTTGGCGGTTGCCGTTTAACCCATGTTGACACAGCGTGGATCGGCCTCCTCGGAGCCTTCATACTGCTCTCTTGATGTGCTAAAAAAAAATCGACTGTCAATTGAAAATTGGAGCCTTCGGATACGTCGATCAATATATATACCTTATATTTCGTAACTTACCTTTTGTTATAAAAATAAAATAAAATTGTTTTGTTAAGGAGTAGAGAGGGTGTTGATACAAATTATGGAACCAAATCTATTTTTATTTGCTTTGATTTGTATTTTTTTAAAATAATAATATTTAGTTTGGTTTTGATTTTTGTTCGAAAATTTAAAGAAATAGTGTTAACTAATTCTACACATATTTTATAGTTATATATACATGATTATATTATTTTTATATGAATAACTTAAGTATAATTGAGTTATACTATAAGAATTAATAATTATAAGATTCAAAATGGAATAAAGACAATAATTCATTTGAATGAATCGTTTCTTTTACTTTGATGTATGGTTAATAACTAAACAATTGAACCAAAACTAATAACAAACAAATCAATTAAATTGGTTTGATTTTGATTTGAATAATTTAATACTAATTGAATTAGGTTAATTTAATTTTGATAAACAATATTTGTAAAAAATTCCTAGGAGACTAAATAAATGAATTATTATTTAAAACTAATAAATAAATGATCTACCCTAATAATATTTCATATCTTGGAACAAGGCAACAATATTTCAAAGTTAATTTTAGATAATTTTTTAAAAAGTTGAAAATCAAAAGTTCCAAGAGAAAACACTATTTCATTTAATTAGCTGGAATGAATACTCCATCATGAAGTTTGGTGAACTATTTGTTTATATTTGGTCATAAAATCTAACAACTTTAGTTGGATTGGATTAACCAATTTAAGATGTGATCACAACACCTATATCATGAATCATGATTGTGATGTGCATTAATATTGATTAGTATCACAACTTTGTAATATCCAAAACAAAGTATTAACCAATATAAGAGTTCATTCACACACCACGGTCATTAAAAGCTTTAAAGCAAAGTTAATTTAGAGGGTTATTATACATTTTTAAACGTTTCATGATTAAATTGACTAGTGATACTTTCGAGATGCTACCTTGAAATAGAAAGTCTTTTCAATTTCATTTGATTCGGGGAGTCTTCGCCGGTAGTAACCTCCTGAATTTGTCGAATAACTTCTTTCCCGCAAAGCTTGTCAATCCTACACTCCTTTCTTTTTATGTATGGTGACGAATCTGTTTGGACACTGATTATAAGCGAAAGCATAGTTGATTCCAACTGAAAAATGAAAGAAATTATCCACAATTTTTACTCATCGTTGAAAGTATGCACAACTTGGAGTTAGAGTTAAAATTTGAATCCTCTCCACCAACTCAACGTCCCCCGATTCCTACCTTCTTAACTCCCCCAATCCCTATATATCTTAACCATTTCAACCTGCCACCGAGGCTCTACTCCTCACCACCTATCGCCCCTATAGTGTTTTACTAGATTTCATATAAACACTCTTAAGACAATATTTTTTTTTACTTATAATTATCAAACACTATAAAATAAGTAAGAAATCAATTTGTTTTTCAAGAGAACGTTTTTCATGAATAATGTGAGAGTGACCTCTGTGGTGGACAAAATGAGGAAGGTGAGACTATGATGGTTTGGACATGTGAAGAGGAGTTTCATAGACACATCAATGATGAAGTGCAAAAGGTTAGTTATAAAGGGTAGAGGAAAAACAAATGTAGACCGAAGAAGTATTGAAGAGAGGTGATGACAAGCTACGACGCAACTTCATGTTACCAAGGACATGACCTTAGATGAGAAGGGGTAGAGGACGTTTATTAGGGTAAAATGTTAGTAGGTTGTGCCATGATGTCTTGCTTAGGGTGACTTGTTTATCATTTATATTAGTTGTATTATTGTAGTTTTTGTTTTTGATTTTATCATTATTTTATTGTTTTCAATAATCTATCCTAGTATGTTGTTTAATGTGTTTCAATTATCACATTATTTTATTATTGTTTCGAATCCTTTTAGGTAGACTTTGCAATGCTACTTGTTAATTGATATATTCTCTTTACGATTTCCTTATTTTTTATACATGAATTTGTTGCACTTGAGTCATGAGTCTTTCGAAAACAAAATATGGTAAAGTTTGTCTTTATTCTATCCTCTCCAAACCTTACTCGTGAGATTTCACTGGAATATTATTGTTATTGTACTATTCTTCTTGTACCAAACACACCCTAAAACGTTACTAAATCGGTTAAGAATTGAGGTCCAAGATTATTCTTTACTAAACAATTGTTAATTATTTTCTAGATCTTTTTCGATATTTTCTCTTTCATTCTTCCCTACTATTGTTGTTTTAGAATAAGTACTTTGTTTTTAAAAAAATTATTTTATTAAAGTAAGTGTTGACAATAAATCAAATTAAAACTTTACATTTTTTATCCATTTAGATTCAAAGTCTAAAAACCCTTTTTATAAAAAAATTCATAGTTTTGGACAAATTGATGGACCTCAAGCGCGGAACGGCGTCGTACCCGGGACTACCCTTCTAAACCAAAACCCTGCTAAAACCCTAACAACAATGGTGGATTGTGAGTCGAACTCAGCACACAGAAAGATGAAAAAGATGAAGATGAAGATGAAGAAACGAAAGCAACATAGCGCCGACAAAGAAGAAGGCTGTAACAGACCTTCAAAATCCCATCGCACCGAACAGGAAGAACCTATAGTTGTTCCGGAAAGTGAAGAAGCAATTAAGATACAGGATGATTCCCCATGGAGAAATCTACAGTTGATATTGTCCCTTCAGAACAACTCTATCCCTCTCCAAGAGTCAGTACTAATACTTCAATGTTCGGCTATATTTTGCTGATAAAAAAGTTCGATTTCGTTTCTGTTATGGAGTTATTTTTTGCTTTGTTTGGAAGCTCACGGATTTGGTTTTGGGAGAATTAATTTTGTTATTAGTTAGAAGAGAAACTTTGTGCATTTGATAGTTTTATTTTGTCTTCTAAACAAATACTCGAAATCCAAGCTAGTTGGGGTCGGCTATATGAATAATCACTATAGATGGGAATTAATCATAAAGTGACTAGTTTTATGCGGTCTGTCAACATACCTTAACCCTTCTCTGGCAATGTTAGCAAGTTCACACGTTTGGACAAGAATGGAAAACATTTCTTTAGGAAAAAACAGAACGTCTAAGCTGGTAATTGGTTCAAACTTTTGAAAAAGAGTTGCTCCAAATGCCATTGCAGAAACTGTTTCTCAACCAATGATTTTTTTTTATTCTCCAGCTTTTGGATGAAAACCAGTTTTTGCAACAAAAAACTGATTTTTTTTTTTTTTGGCAAAGATTCTTCTTTGACCTTTTGAACCAAGTGCCAGCCATTATTTTCATGTCGAAACACAAGTGTTCTCACATTTGTTTACTGTGAATTGATGATTTTCTTCTAACAAACTAATTCTAGTGCAGAAAATTGGAGCTGGCATATAATTATGTGAAATCAAGAACAGAAGGGGCTGGTGAAAGCAGGGAGAAAATTCAGACAGTAAGCTTTTCAAGAGTGGTAGTTTTCTTGAATAATTGGGTTCAGAGGATACTAGTTTCTTCTGAAAAGAAAATTAGGGTGGAAGGAGACAAGCATGCGATGGAAATTGCAGGGTCATATTCAGATTGCAGATGTTGGGTGATTTTCAGGTTCTGCTTGGAGGAATCAAAAAAGATGGGTGTTTCATTACACTTCTTAAGGGACTTGTTACGGGTCATCCAATACATTTCAAGGGATGCATTGATACGTCTGGGTGATCAGCCTTTGGTTAGTGAAGATTTGGAGTTGCATAGCATTGTGCTTGATTGCATATCCCTGGTCTTCTCATCTCATGGGGGTATTTCTAATGAAAATCTAGACTTATGGATATCATTGATTAGTGTGGTGCTTGAATTTGTCCAAAAGGTTCTCAATGATAAGCTTGATGGAACGAAGGCGGGTATTTTTGCCAAGCAGTTGTCTTGCTGCTTGCTTGAGCCATTTGTTAAGTTTCTAAAGGTCCATCCAACTCGTAAAAATGGTTTCCGCGAGTTTATAGATAAGCTTTTTGAAGATTTGGTGATTGTGTGGGATGCGTTAGATGTTCATGGCTGTGAAAGCAATCCAGAATGGAAAAGAAATCTATCGGTGTTGATAGAAGAAGTTTTGTCACAGGCATTATTCCATCCAACTCATATTGATGGATTTTTAAGCCTCCAAAGTACATCCAAGTATAGGCATTTTGATGATAAAAAATCAAAAGAGGAGAAAACTTTCATAAAAAGTTACCATAGACACTTATTTGATAAGTTGGGGAAGATAATAACTGGGAAGAATGCGTCAGCACTCAGTGGTGCTGGAGAGCTGCTTCGCCTGTTCATTAATTGTATTTATATGAAGAATGGGGTTTTAGTCGGTGCAGAAGCATTTAGACACCAGGAAGGCAATTCTACTGCCTTTTCCAGGAGCTCTTCCAACAGCTCTGCGATTTCAACAAGTCCTCCCTGTTATGCCCTGGATGCAGAAGCACGGAAATCAGTTTTTGATTTTTTTGTAGAGATTATGGAACTTTTCTTATCAGAGATTTATACTCACTCACAGCCCGGTGTGGATGCTGAACCTCTGTATTTGGGTGTTAGCACATTAAGATCAATGAATAAGTTGCTTGCAACATGTGTACAGGAAAAGGTATATATACGAACTGAAGATACCTCCGAAGGGGCTTGCTTTAATTTTTTGAAGTTAATTTATGATGCGATCATGTCTCTTACTGCCCAAATGAATCGGTTACTACAATCATTTGACTCTCCAGAAGAACGAATACCCGGGCAATTGTTGATTCTAGCTGCCAAGGAAATTTTTCTTGCTATTCATTATTTAGTGGATATTGAATATGATGTTGTTGGGGATGATCTAGAAAAACTATGGGGCACGATACTTACTCTTACAACCAGTAGTCACTCTCTGATGAACGCTTCAGATCAACATTTGTTGACTTCAGAGGTACTTAAGCTTGGATGCAGACTGGTTCACCTCTACAGTGAACTTCGACAGGTTTGTGAGTTTTGTTGATTAATTTGTAGACAGTTACTTTGTATTATGGAGGAATAACTTAAATTTTTTTAGAAAGGTATGACACTTCACATAACACCTTAGTTTCATGAACCGCTATCCACCTTCTTCTGCACCCTTTGTGCAGTGATAATGCTTGAGCTAACTTTTAATTTCATGCTTTACTATTGTTTGTTTTTTGGGGAATTGAACCATTTTGTGGTCCTTTTTTATCCTGAACTTTATAGGTTAACATTGCCATATTCGCACTAAGCAAAGCTGTTAGAGATGTATTATCATCATTCAGAAGCAACGAAGTGTTCAGCTCTTCATTGCTCTGTCACTCATTTGCTAATTCTATGAGCATGTTATTGTGCTCTCCAGAATTCAGACGTTCCATCAGAAATGCTGTCAAGTCCATTCCTGAGGGCCAAGCAAGTGGATGCATCCGACAGTTGATTGTTGATGTTGCAGAATCTCTGGAATGGATAAAATCTGAATATCAGTTGCCTGCTGAAAGTGATTTTGCAGAACCATGTTTTAGTAGTTGTGGCACGCATTGCTTTGTTCTAAAAGCTGAGATTTTGGGGAAAAGCTTGACTGAAATGTATACCCTTATTCTCGACTCAATGACTGTTACTACCGGTAATAGCAACCTCGTTGCTCTTTCCGTGAAAGATTTGATGGCTGTTATTCGCCCTGGTTTGAGTAGCCTGGTCTCTCGAGGTCCAGATGTTCTTAACGTTTTCTTTACTCTGGTAACGGGCAGAGGATTCAGTAAGGCAGCTGCACTTGGGAATGACATTCTCTCAGCATGCTGGATTGTGGTCTTTTTCTTTCGTTTATATATGTCTTGCAGAAGCTTGCAAAGACAAGCCATCAGCCTGATGCCCCCAGATGCATCAAGGAAGATGTCAAGAGCACTTACTGATTCTTTTTCTGCTTATTCTGCAAAGGACTGGTTGGAGAGCACTGGTTGGGAAGACGAAAGTTATTTTTCTTGGGTTGTCCAACCTTCAGCTCCTCTTCCTGCTGTTTTACATATTATTGCTGAGTTTTGTCATCAGCACACTGTTATAGTTTGCTGTCCCCTTATTTATGTATTGAGTGGCATGGCTCTTCAAAGACTAGTTGATTTAAATAGGCAAATGAAGTCCATTGATTACTTGCTTCAGAGGAATAATAATCTAGTCCAGGCTATGTTAGATAATGATGCTGGTCTATCATCATACTCCAAGGATACTAAAAAGTGGAACAAACATGTCTCAACTCTGAGGAAAGAGGCAGCAGACCTCACCGAATTCATGATGAGATATCTCTCATTAGTGACTGAAGATAGGATATATAATTCCTCAGTTGATCAAGTAAGCAGTAAGAATACATATCTCAATCATCTGTATGAAACTGAGGTATGGGATCTTGGTACTGGATCTATAGATGAGAAGCTGTTTCCATCTGCTTTGTGGTGGATTATTTGCCAAAATGTTGATATCTGGTGTCCTCATGCTTCTAAAAAAGACTTGAAAAAGTTTCTTTTAGCTTTAATTCAGAACTCCCATCCTTGTTTAAGCACGAATATGAGTGCGCTCAGGAATTATATAGAGAAATCTGGCTACGTGACAGGAGTCAACCGACATTTGGTCTCAGTGGAACTTCTGAGCAACACCATTCTATATGAACAAAAAGTAAGTTCTTGGGTAGCCTCTACAGCACATACATTTAGCACTGTTTTAGCTTTACTTATGACCATCAAATCTTCATGCATCTCATGTCACAGCTTTGTGAAAGAACCTTTCTATGAATCCATGTAAAAGTTACTTGCTAATCCCTCAATTAGGAAAATCTCAGCCAAAGAAACACGTCAAGAAAACAGGTTTATGCTCTTTGGTTCAACTGCAGGTTCCATGGGTATAACTTGAACATTGTGATGTATAAACTGAAGTAAAATTTCATCTACTTATAGAATGACCCACAGAAACACTAAGTTGCTTGGACTCTTCACTTTCGGTGCCGCAACCTTGTAGACATAACAGGGTGTGGGATCCGTACCTGATTTAGTCAATAGATTTTGAGTACTTCGACTAAAATCAACGGAGAAATTTTGGACAGATTCAATGATTTGTGAAATCAAAACAAAAGCTAAGGTGAAATTGAAGAAAATGGAATAACTTGTATATAGAATTTTCTATGTCACTCCTTTTTGTTTTATCTCCTTCTAAGACTTTCCTCTCGATCAATATTTTTGCTCAAGTTTTCCACATAATATCTCATAGTTTAGGTTTTATAACTCTATTTTTAGATATTTGAATTATTTTTAGTTGAATCCCCGCACCTGTATCCATATCCCCACATCTTAAAATTTAGATCATGAAGGATCTGACCTCTAAATTTGCACTTGTATCGGACACTTGCACCGGAGTCCGAGCAACTTAGCAGAAACATATTCATTTGCGAAATCTATCCTGATATGCAAACTGGAGTTATGTAGCAGTTAGTGCCTGCTACAATTTGAGACTCAAGTTTGAGTCCTCCTGGAGGCAGGTTTTCATATTTTAGTAAGAATGATGTTGCAGGTAGATCACGTAAAGCTTGGGTACTTAGGTCTCTCTCTGTCAAACTATCAGTTGCATAAGGGATCACATTAGCATCCCAGAGTTGTTGGGGATTTTGGACACTTCTCACGTCCGGGTGTATTAGATTGGATAATCCTATTCCACTTACACCTTGCTAGTTTAGCATTTGGGTTATTGCGCTGTCTGGTTGCCTTATTGAGTTCTATTGGGAGCGATTGTTTCTTGTGGTGTTCTAACTGTATGTTATGATAGCCCATTTGCAGGCACATGGCATCCATATTTTGCCAAATTTTGAAGAAGTCTGTGTTGTCAATATTTTCATATGTTGGAGAAGTTGATCTAAATGGTACACCTGATTGGGAGAATGCTATACACATGCTTGAAAAGTCATCGACTACATTTTTCAGAAGTAATCATCCACAGGATAATGACTCATTATTGATAGAGCCAATCCATCATTTACTAAATGACATACCTGCTGAACTTTGTGAAAAGGAACTAAGTCCTATAAACGCAGAAATCACCAGATGCCGGGAATTTCTCAACCTTTTGAGCTGGATACCGAAAGGACATCTTAGATCAAAATCATTCTCACGTTATGCTACTAGCATTCTCAATATCGACAGGTAATATCACTTCTTCACCCTTTTTTTTGTTCTCATCAGACATTAAATGCCTTTAGCATTAGCTGTTGGAAAGCTTTTAGATATTGACATAACAACTTCAAGCTAGTAATTCAAACTGTAATGTTGGTTTGCAAATGGCTGTAATATTTCAGGCTCGTGGTCGGCTGCCTGTTTGATCAGCATGGGTCAGTAGCTTTATGCAGCCGTTATGAGCTCTTGAGGTTGCTTGTGACCTGCCGGAGAACCTTTAAAAATCTGCTAATGGCATCATGTGAAGGGAAGAAAGGTCATCAATCCTTGCTAGCTTGCTTGTTGTCAGAGAGATCTCCTGTTTTTTGGCTTCTGAAGTCATTGTCTGCAGTAACTGGTTTTCTGAGTGTGATTTCTCAAGAGACTTCTCCTCAATTGAAACATATGATTTTCTCGTTGATGGATCACACATCTTTCATCCTTTTGACTCTGTTCAAAGATCAATTTGAAGCCATTTTTGCTTTGACTGCTGGGAAGTCTTATGGAGGAGCTATCAGTTCTGCTGATGGCCACAAAGAGATTGTTCTGAGAGAAAATGGTCCGCGTTCAGATTTCTCTGATAACAACGATGCATGGAGAAGTGTTTCATCTGTAGCTGGCACCTTAACGAGACATGCACAGGAATTGCTGGACTCCCTAAATCTAGCGGTTGTTAATGGAAAAGTGGATGATCTAGCTGGGCTTCAGGAAATGGATAAAGTCTCACCTTTGGTCTCTTGCTTTCAGGGATTCTTATGTGGTCTAGTTTCTGCAATGGACAGTTTGGATATTAAAAGAAGCAGTACTCTTATAGAATCAACAAGCCACAACCTCAAAATGAAACCATGTATAGAGACATGTGCAGACTTGTTAAACTCCATTTTGCATTTGTTATTTCTTGAGGGCGATCAATGCCCTCAAGGTTTGTCTAGTACCCACACTGCTATTGAGACAGAATGTTGCAACGAACTATTGGCAGCGGGAACTTACCAATCTAGGGACTCTGCTGATGAGCCTAATAATGTGAAAAAGGAAGAACACTATTCTGGTTCGGCTGACTCTGTACAGTCTAATGACTGTAAGAATGACTTGCAAAAGTTTGGAGGTATTGAGTCTCTTTTGGCCAATGTGGACTTTGAGCAACAATATTTGAGAAAATCTTTATTGCAAGGACTTTCCAAAGGAGAAAATCTTGAAGCAGCATTTTGTCTGAAGCATATTTTCGGTGCTTCTTCAGCTATTCTAAAATTTTCGTTGCATACCAAGTCTACTTCCTTGCCGAAGAATCTTCTTCCCATACTAATCCGTGTCTCTCATGTCTTGCTTTCTGATTTTGCCAATCACAGTGGGTCACTTGAACAGTTCTCTTTTATTTGGTTAGATGGTGTTGCGAAGTTCATTGGAGAGCTGGGAAAAATATTTCCGCTGCTTAATCCTTTGTCTTCTAGAGATTTATTTGTCAAACAAATAGAATTGCATTTGAGGGCCATGGGAAAGTGCATATCTTTACAGGGGAAGGAAGCTGCTCTTGCATCACGAGAGATAGAATCAAGTACCAAGATGCTAAGTGATCTGCCAGAACATGACCTATCCAACTCTCATTGGCTAAACCACTTGGATGAGTTAAAATCCAGATTGAGGATGTCATTCGCGAATTTTGTCAGCAGAGCTTCTGAATTGCATTTATTGTCTGCTATTCAGGCTATTGAGAGAGCATTAGTTGGTGTGCAGGAACACTGCATTATTAACTATGAAGTAACTACTGGAAGTTCACATGGAGCAAAGGTCTCTGCTTATGTTGCTGCAGGCATTGATTGCTTGGACGTGATTCTTGAATCTGTGTCAGGTACTATTTTATATCCAAGGTTTACTTTCAAGTACCAAGCTTGCGTTTGGACATGCAATATGAAGTCATAATTTCAAATCCCAAATTCTCCAGAAAGCTCAAATCATGATTTCAACTGTTGTAAATGTAAAACTTGACCCATAAGTTTATATTTTGTAAGGACCCATCATTTGAAATTTTGTAAAAAAAGACATGTTCGGCGTGAAAAGATTGTTCGTACCATGTGAAATTATTATATTAAAGAATAACTAGTTACTACTATTGTTGACTAGTGAATCTTTATAAAATTATGTGTATTTGCAAGTTTGTATTCACAAATCACAAACATTTATTTGTAAAAGGAACATGAATATATGTGATTTATCAATGTGGTGCCTTTCAATATTCCGATATCTACCCTTCGGGGTTGCCCAGTGGTTTGAGCTTGGGACTTCCATGTTGGAGGTCTCAAGTTCGAAACCCCTTGCCAACGAAAGCAAGGGGTTTGCCTTCTGGGTCGAGCTCGTCGCACCAGGCTTGCCTAGTGCGGGTTACCTCTCCTATGTGGTTTGCGAGCCATTGCATAGGAGCGGGGGTTTTACCCTGTGCGCACCCAAAGGGTAGCGGCTGCGGGTTTCCCTTGTCATCAAAAAAAAAAAAAATTCCGATATCTTGTTTATGAACTATGGTTTGTTCAATTTGGTAAGATTGCGCAAGAATTGGGGAAATTTTGATAGTTATCACAACTTGTGGGGTTGTCATGTTTATAAAAAAATACAACTAAAGAAATCCAAATTGCATGTCCATACAAAACTTCAATTTCATATCGCATGTTCAAACGGGTCCTAAGAGAAAAATGCAAGATAGCTATTATGTCAAAGTTCTTTGCTTTCATTTGGACTCCACAAATGATTAGCATTTTTTTCCTCACAGATATTACATATTTTTGTCTGGATCAGAGAGAAATTAAGCTCTTTCGATTGCTAGAAATATCAAGAGATGATGTATTTGTATTTCAGTTTTAACCTTGTGAAGGATAAGAAAACACTGGTTCTTGTCGACATGAAATTAACTGAATAGCTCTAACAATCAGATGCTCATTATGCTACTACGAATGGTTTGGATGTGAAAAAAAAATCCAAATGGTTTGAATGGATATGTTTGAGTAGGAGCGAGTAGGGCTGTTTAAAATAGTTTTTAATTCCTCAGATGTTGCATTGCATGAAATATAAAAGCTCTGGTTTGGACAGATGAGTAACTTAAGTCATAAATCACAAGAGGAGCGCGTTGAGTGGAGGGGAAAAATTAGCAGAGTCTCCCTGAAAAAGGGGGACTTTTGATTCTTTTTGTCCATGATTTCTTGTTTTTTCTTAAAGGGTCTTTTGACTGGGAGGTTGTTACTTTTCAGAACACACAATTAATTAAAAGGAACAATAATTGGCTTGGCTTTGCTCATGGCATGTAAAGAGACTAAGACGACATCAGTTTAGGAACTAATTAACATGTCTTCAGAGGCGAAGTAGCACTTGCAAAGATCTCTACCTATGTGTGAGGCACTTGCAAAGATCTCTACCTATGTGTGAGCTCTCTCTGGAAGCTGTGATGTTTTTCATTTGTTTGTTGGATAGTTTAGGGAGCTGATTGTTCTTCATATTAAGTTGCAAAAAATCCCGATACTTGCCCTATACTAATGTTTTTCAGATTTGTGCGTAACTTGCGGTTTCGTATGTCCTTTGTCTTTTTATAGGGCGTAAGAAGTTGGCTGTGGTCAAAAGGCATATCCAGAATTTAGTATCGTCTCTACTCAATGTAGCCCTGCACTTGCAAGGCCCGAAGATATTTTTCAGAAATCATAAGTTCAGGAAAGATTTTACTGAACCTGACCCTGGCTCTGTCTGTCTTATGTGCATTTCAGTGCTGACAAAAATTTCTGCCAAACACGCTTTCTTCCAATTGGAAGCATGCCATATTGGGCAGTTATTGCATCTGCCTGCTACAATATTTCAGAGTGCTTTTCAGCTTTGGACATCCAAAGTTCCACTTTGTTCTAATTATACAGGAGACTTGACTTCCGGAGAAACTGAGGTTCCTGGAAGCGAAAGAAGTGTCGTGGATAGAGAATTTTGCATAAAGCTATATGCTGCTTGCTGCCGAATGCTGTGCACTGTTCTAAAGCATCACAGAAGGTTTGCTACTTTGTTCTTGTTTCCTTCAAACTATATTTGTGGCCTATTCCCTTATGTTGTTTACTGTGCAATTTTATGATGATCACCGGGGAACTTCAAAAGAGATGGAGAAACATTATAGATGTGTGGATTTTGAGCAAATTTCCCCTTATAAGTCCATGATCTATTATCTTGGTTTTCACAATATGTAGTGAGACACGGCGCTGCATCGCGCTTCTGGAAGATTCAGTTGGCAGACTTCTTAATTGTTTGGAGATGGTATGCACTTGTCCAGTTGGAGGAGATAATTTTGGATGGGAAGTTCAAGGAGGAGTAAAATGCGCCAGTTTTCTTCGTAGGGTGTATGAAGAGGTAAGGTTACTTCTACATTATACTCTCTCCTCAATAATGGAATTTTCAATTACTCAAATGTTGGGTTAACATGATCTAAATACTTCCTTCTTGCATCATTTATAGTTGCCTTTTTGCTCTTCTGAAAAATGGGAGTAAAAGACAGATGGCTTTCGGGCTTTACAGGTTGCTTCTAGATACTTAGGCTCAGGCTCATGAGTGCTTTATGATTCGAAATTCATGACCCTGCCTAAAGTTGAATGTACTATAAACAGTGCTCTACTTGGATGAACTTGCCTTCAGCTTCATCCTTACTTTGGACTTTGAACATGTTAGTTCTAAGCTTTGATTTAGTCATAGTCAGTTCTGAGGTGGTTGTTCCCATTCATTACTAGCTTTGTACGAATTTCTTTTTTATCCGTTTACTAGCTTGGTAGTTAGTATTGAAAGTCATTAATAAAATTTCCATTAGTTATCAAAAGAGAAGTTCTGAGATTGTTGAAACTAGATAACTTAGGAGGCATATTATTGGTCCACTCTTTTGATTTAAAGGTAATTTGACAATGTCGTTTCTTGTCTCAATTACATTGTCAGAAGGGTACTAGTGCAAGTTTCGATTTTGGGTCATCAATGCATTAGTTTCATTTAACTGTTTGTCCATTCACATAAATCCAAGAGGTTTCTTTCCTTATGTCTTTCATAAAATGGCTGTCCCCTTTCTATATTGCAGATTAGGCAGCACAAAGATGTCTATGGTGACAATTGTTTTCAATTCCTATCTTGCTACATATGGGTGTACTGTGGATATGGTCGGCTTAGAAATGGAATCATCCGGTACTTTTTTGTTGTATTCACTTTTGATTTCATGTTAGAGGCACAATGTGATTTGCATTTTTGATTCCTGTTCTCCAATCTTAATGACTTTTTTTTTTTCAACTTGGAAGGGAAATCGATGAAGCTTTAAGACCTGGTGTCTATGCTTTAATAGATGCTTGTTCAGAAGACGATCTTCAACGTCTTCACACAGTATTTGGAGGTGAGCAATCTCAACCTGTTCTAAAGTTTGAAAGAATATTAAGCTATTAGTTGCCTGTTGCCTCACTATTTAATCTTTCTATTTTTATAGAGGGACCCTGCAGAAATACCCTTGCTACTTTGCAACATGATTACAAGATCCATTTCCAGTATGGAGGAAAAGTGTGATTGATCATCATAACTACTTTTGTTGGCAAAGTCTGTATGTGGAGGATCCTGTATCACTACTGCTTTTGCGGGCAAGTCTTCATTGTGAAGGAAAATGACAAGACCTGCAGAGTAATATTGTCAATGAAGCAACCTCGACATTGCTACATTGCCCACAGGGTTAAAGGCTTGCAACGGGGGTTCACCTGCAGCCTGTTTTAACAGCTATTAGAAATGCCCCTCTTGATCCGTTCTTCAAGACCTACGGTTGAAGGCTAATCAAAGAACGCAAAATTTGACATTGGTTCCTTGGGGACATGCTTGTGCTCTGCTGCTAAAATGTTGTAGCAAACTAAATACACACACACGCTCTTCATCGAAAGCTGAGACTCAATTCTGTACAAAGAAGTTTTGCTGAGCTCGAGCCTTGGGAGTTCTTGTGTACCGGTATGAGTAGAAGTATTGCATCTCTTTTTAATTATGTGAATTTGATATCCCTTGCCAATGGTTTGAAACTCTAGGGAAAATAGACCTTTTTGTAAGCACATGACATTTAATTGAAATTTTTTCAAGTTCAATTATATGTATAATGTATGGATCCAATTTTATTTGGCCGATGTGCACAAATACCCAATTTTAGGATAGTCATGTCATTTTTGTGCCCATTATATTTTTATGCAAGTTTATTTGCTTTGGGAACAACTTCAGACATACGCTGTTGAAGTTGAAAATTGTGAAGGCCAAACATTATATTTTTGGCCTCAAGTTTGGTATGACTTGTCAAGTCTTAGACATTTTCTTTTTATACTGAAGTCTTTTTTTTTTTTTTGAAAATCGAGAAATCCATCTTTGACCCGCCGCATTTTGGATCAATCACAACCTTCTAAACTCGGTGGATGATGGGCCTGTCCCTCTACCCTTCTCCACTCAAATATCGGGCTTCGCTTTGTATGGTGTGGGACTTGAACCTGCGACCTAAGTCACAAATCTTCCCCCTTTTGCCACTTGAGCCTGGCCGGGGGGCTTTTTTACTGAAGTTGTTGGTTGATTTGGTAAAGCTAAGCTTCGGACATTTTTTTGCTATAGTTGTGGCTTTAGCAAAGATCAAACTTCAGTCATGTGATTGAATTGCATATAAAAATTGGATAAAACTTTAGTGATGTATGATTTGACTTTTTTTTTTTGAAATAGGTAACTGATGTGTGATTTGACTATTTTTATCCATTTTTTTTAAAAATAATTCAAATAAGCTCAAATTCAAGACATAAGTGTCATATTTCTTATAAAGAAATACGAAACTTATGTTTTGAATTTGTTAGATTTTAATGAACAAAACTTCAAGCATCAATTTGTCAAAACAATAAAAATCTAACAAATTCATTCAGCACCCTTTTTCATGTATGTCTACTTAATTTATTTGAGAAACCTGCATACACATAATTACACTCACAATTTGAACAAATAATTTCTTTTTCTTTACTTGTTTTGCAATTACAATTTACTTTTTTTCATACTTACAAAAATTTATGGCAAACGCTGCCCATCTGTCCTGTTCTCACTTAAATTTCAGACTTGTGTCATTTTAAGGTTCCAACTTGTCAAGTATGCCTAACCCATACTTCATTAAACCAAGTATAACTTATACTAGGTAGACCTTTACGCCAACTTGTTTGAAATATAATTAACTTTTGCAAAGTAGCTTAAAAATAGTTACTTCTCCATTACAATTAAATGCAAAAAGACTTAGTTTTACATGTATACGTTCAAATTTCGAGACTGTCATGGAACTTCATTTATAAAAGTTTGAACTCTAGAACACTATTCGAGAGTTTCACTTTTATAAGTTTAACTCCAAGACGATGTGATCAAGTTTGAATCTCTACTAGTGAAACTTCACTTACTATGCTGGAGTGATGATACGCTTGAGATAAAACCATGCTGTGCAGTGCACTGGGATTCTGGGAGCTAAGGTGCCTTCAAACATCTGAAATCAATTGTAGTTCCAAGAAAAGAAAAAAGAGCAGAAAATGTACTCATTGACCATACTTCTTCACAATCCACATTCATCATTTGAAGCATAGATATTTATTTTGGGTTGGGGGTGTTGGGAGGGGTCAAGTAACTTCAGCAAACTTTGGTATAATTAGTGTCAAGGAACATACAACACATCCAAACCCCGCTATAAAAAAAAATTTACACTCTGAAGCTCCACATTTTGCTTTCACTGTGTTATTAAAATGAGATGGATGAAAAACAAGTTATACAGGATGAGTTGGAAAGTTACCAAAATTCCACTAGATAAAACTCATTCATAAATTGACCATCTGATGCTTCCAGCACTGCTATTTCTCTAAGCCATTTATTTCAACGACTACAACCCGTGACAAATGATCAAGCAGCTACCTTCTTGGATGTTACAGAATTAATAATGGTGGCAAACTCAGGACCCTGAAACATAGAATATTAAGGTTACTGCGCATTTCCAAAAAAAAAAGTTAATTCCAATGGAGAATTTCCACTTTGAATAAATGATGCAGCGACAAGTTAGAAACCAACAAGCTAGGAGTTGGTTTAGTACACATTTAATGAAACTAATTGCAATGTGTATATTTTTATTCTATCTCCATGTAAATTTCTAAGATACAACCACCACCTATGGCTGATTACTTCTATCATCTTTTTGTGATGACCAAAAAAATTTTCCGAGGGACAGTTGACACATGGTTGTAACTTGGTGGATAATGGGTTGTCCCTTTACCCATCTCCACTTAAATACCGGCTTTAGTCCATGGCAGAGTCGAACTATTGACATGAGTCTAACCCACGTGTCATGCACTGTGCTCTTACCATTGACCCGAAGCCCTAGGGATATTGCTTTTGTCATACTCCGTCAAACTCCAAGTCCCAAGGATCTTCACATTAAACTCCACATATCACTAAAGTTCTTTCCAAACCAACTTCAGCACTCCAGAGTGTGCGCAGTAGTTGCCCCAACACCAAAGAATTTTTAGTGTCCACGATAAAGGGTAGGTCCACTGTCCACTTATAGTCACGATGAACAACAATTTTTTTCCAATACTAGTCACAGTGAACAACATTTTCTAGATATGATGTTCTTTCTAAGGGGATGCCATAAATTCTAGGTCCAGCTTAAATTTAATAACTTATCCATGTTTTAATTTTTGTAATTTTGGTCAAGGATACAGTTCTTGCATGTTACAATCATTTCCACTGATCCCAAATATTTTACGGATACATTCCACATGCTACAGTCAAATAGGAAACTAAAAAATATTTGCCAGACAAAATGCATGTACTTAGCAATTAAAAGATAACCTTTAAAGAAGCACCCCCCACTAGAAAGCCATCAATATCTTCTTTCTTCGCCAGGTCAGAAGAGTTGCCTCCGTTCACAGAGCCTGTCAAAATTTTACAGTTTTATGAAACATGAAAATTACAATTCAGTTTCACAAAAAATCCAGGCATATCAACAGCAAAGAAACAGGATTTTGGAGCACCAAATACAGGTTGGATATGTCTTAATTTAACAATGCGTCAAAGTCCTTCGCTGACTCACAAAAAGAATTCTTCAAAAGACAAACAAATAAGAATTCAACAAAAAGAGTTAGGGGTTCACTTCCCCATCCCCCCTAAGTAGAAAACAACAAAAAGAATTGTTGACTCCTGTAATTATGATACTTTACGGCTCAACACAACCCAAGCGGAAGAGGGGAACTTTTACAATATCTAGTTGACATATCAATAACAAATCACAACATGGCTTAAATCCTTAACTTTTAACAATAACTCATGCAATCTCAATTCGCATGCATGAAACACAGAAGAGGAAAAGTTACTTTTTACATGAATTCAACACTCAAATTCATTACCTCCATATATGATGCGTGTTTTAGAAGCAACTTCTGCAGAAACATTCTTACTTAGCCAATCACGAACAGCTGCATGGACCTCCTGAGCCTGCTCAGGTGACGCCACTTTACCAGTTCCAATAGCCCATACAGGCTCATATGCAATGACAACATCATCCCAACTTGGTAAAGCATCTGCACATCACAGAAATGTCATCAAAGAGATCTAAGAAAGATAAAGCTTTCACATGTAACACTTTTAGCCTAAGGGAGAAAATTCATTAAGCCAAGGCAATGGATATAAATGACTATCCCATCCCTGCCCCCAGTGAGTAATCTTAGCTTTTAATAGAACATCATATACATATATAGGTCTCATGAATATGAGATGAAAGATTCTGCAAGTAAGACTATATTCAACATAATCAGCAAAATCTCACCGGCAAATGCCTTCAACTGCTTGAAACATACATCAAAAGTTTTTCCAGCTTCTCTTTCTTCCAATAGCTCTCCAATACAGGCTATAACTCCAACATTCTGGCTCAAGGCATAAGCGGCCTTCTTCCCAATAAACTGCACGAGAGAATGGCCCAGTCAAGTCCTTAGTGAACAGCTCAACACACAACGAAGTATCATCAAGACCCGGCAAATGTTTTACTTCATTTCACTTGTGACAAATTGCTTAGTTTTCCATAAAATTCACAAATCAAATGATTCATGCAAAGCCTTACTTCATCATTTTCTCCAATTACATGTCTCCGCTCAGAATGACCAAGAATGACCCACTTGCAGCCAACATCCTTCAACTGTTCCACGCTACATATGTTAAATAAAACATATTATAAATTGAAGATGAGTTACACTAACAGGAGAGTAATTGGGTCCACACTTGATCTCTGACATATTTTGAAGTCATACACAATGAGCAATGAAGAAATGATGGTCTCTGCCGTCCATTACCTAATGAACTGCACTTCTGATAGGATTCATAAAGTGGAGTTTAACTTTAAGGTTGGATTCCACATCTAATTGGTGGAAAGAAGCATTGGCTTATATTTTAATGGAGATGTGGCCTTGTAGGACAATCAGATAACAGATTCCCTTTTATTCTATTCAATATCTTGACTACATAGTAATGCTATTGTTAATGAAATATGGATACAATGGTGGATTTCATTGTACTAAATTCACTACCCATTATTATCTTCTTTTCCTTGACGAAGATGGAGGGAATTAAGTTCAAAGTCATGGTTTGACCTGAAATCCCACACTTAAAGAACAAAAAAATCCTACTGATAATTTGGATTGGGCAATGGACCTCTCAAAGATGCCTTCCCTGAAACTTCAAGTCAACAGAATAAGCTTAAGAAAATTTCGTAATAATTGGGAAATCAATAGGCTTCAAATTTCTTCAAAATACTGAAGCAATTTCATCGTACCATTGATCAACAAGAAAGACTGACATGGCTAAGGCACAGCTACAACGTCAAATCTTCATACACAGCTTCAAATCATACTGGATAGCAGGCTGGTATTAGGCACTGGAAACACAGCTGAGATAAAATACCCATCAAAGTGGCACTCTTTACTTGATGTGGTAAAATTCTGGCTTGTATTTGGTGGAATGTTTGGAAGGAAAGAAAATCAAGATGTTTGGAAGATATAGTCAGGCCTGTCCAGAAGATTAAGATGACTTCTTTGCTTTTGTTTCATTTTTGGTGTAAGGAAGAATTACTATAAGTAGATTCACTGTTAGATATCCTAGAACCCTTGCAATAAGAACAAGGTTACACTTTTTCTCCTTTCGAATAGTAGATACGGGCATACGGCTCTTAGTACAGCTTTTTTTCACTAAAATTGTTACCTCTTTTCACTCAAAAAAGGATAACCATAACCATAACCACAGAGAAAACACAAAGAGAAACTTCTGATCTCAACAGCGATGTCATGCAGGCCTTATTGGTGAAAATATAGTTAACACTCTCTCATTAGGATGACAAGAAAAACATTGGTTTGGTACACCTTGAAAGGACACAACCAATTAAAACTACGCTGAAAATCAGTTAAGGAAGAATAAACTTGTACAGATTCGTTAGCCATCTTGTCGCTCCTTTAATGGGGCAATTTCCCTATAGTTTGGTTGTACGAAGGCTATTGAGCTCCTATCTTTATCAGAGTTCAAATACCCATAGAGCCAAAAATGCTAGGTGATTACTTCTATTTGCCTAAGCCTTCGTGAGTAAAGTTACCGGATACATATGCTAGTGGGAGGTAGTAGGTATCAGGTAGAATAGTTAGAGGTATGCCTTGCTAACCCGGACACCATCATTATAAAAGAAAAAGAAGTAAATTTTGGTCTGGATTTTCAGAAAATTTGGAAAGACTGCAAATTAACATTCGAAACCAGACTGTTGAATTACCATAAACCATCATATAGTGAAGAACAAAGCAATTCTGGCGCGTTAATTGATTTAAATTTAATTTTACATGTGAGCTTAACCTGATTTCACCCGTGAAAGCTCCACCTTTGCCAGTCCAGCAATTCTGACCAGAAATCTCAATCCTATCAGTTAGTGAACTCTTCACTTGATCAATGTACAGAAAGGGAGGTGCTACAACCACATCTGCAAGTATCCAAGAAGAACATATTATTTTGTGATAGCAACTGATTCAGAATATAAAATTACTATATGAATGTTAGAAATTAATAATATTTTCAGCAATCTTGATTAGTTGACCGATGAAGATGAAGAAAATCAATATAATAGGTGGAGAAAGTGTTTTATCTATATACGGATATGATATCACAATGCCGAAACCATTACGGTGCATACTCTGGAAGGACTGGGCTATCAGCACCAAACATTCATGAAACTTTGGACATGGACATATCCAATTACAAATACCGGTATTACATCTTTATCGATACTACAGAGTAAATATTGGGAAGCAAAGAAAGAATAAAGAGAATGAGAGTAGAGTAGGATGAACAACTGAATCATCTAAAATGCTGCAGACCCGCAAACAAGAAACAGAAAAAGGAATCCCCTTAAGAGAAGCATCATCTTTTGTGTGCCTTTGTCATGCCTTTTGCAACACCTCTTTGAGCAGGCTAATTAACATGAGTTTGCTTCTAAATCTAACGGCCAGAACATTTAAAGATGACTTGCTTTTCCACGACTTCTCTCTACGTCTAGGTTTGTAAAGGATAAGTATCAACAGGACATGTAGATATGGCCAGTGTCATGAAAAACTTCGATTGCAAATCTTCACAATTCATATAAGGTTTCTATATTTTTCATTAATGCTTGCATAATCAACTTCATTCTCGTTAAAACTGAATACCAGTATTACCAAGACGAGGAAAGAATCATTTCAGATTTCAAATACAAGTATAAAACGGAAAAAAAGAGCATGGTGTTATCCGTGTGGCCTTGAATAAAACGAGATATCATCCTAGAACAGCACTATGAAAGGGATATGCACAACAAACTATATTGAATGTAGGGTGAGAAGTAGTCAGCAAACTAGGGTCAAACTAAGTGGCAACTGTAACAGGCTTACAAAGATTACTCTGCAATCAAAATCCGAATAGGGTAGAAAGTCATTGAGACAGCTTCACAGAAAGCTGGATATGCACATACAGCTTGAGGCAATGGAAAGTGAACAACATTGAAGAACTCACCAACATCTGACTCGAGTTTCGCACTGTTCAGATCAGATACAAGCTTGCTTATGGAGTCCTTTGTTCCATTCTGGGAGAAACATTGACAAAGTTACGAAAACAAAAAAATCATAGGGAAATAAATGCCACCGCCCATTATGAAAAAGAGGGGTTTCAAATTTCAATTACATAACTAGACAAGAGGACATAAGATGTAATACTTACACATTTCCAGTTGCCACCAACAAAGAACTGCAAACAATAACAAATCTATAATCAGACATCCAATACGAAAAGGGCGATAATTGAAAGTTCAAAAATGTATTACACGAGGCCTAGAAAAGTTGTGAAAGCTACCATAATGCATTTTAGGGGCAAATTCTAGTGTCATGACAAATCTAACCCATGTTGCATTGGATGATTGTTTATAAAGAAGAAGCCAACCAGCCTAATCCAGTGTGATAAGGTGCGAACTTGAAGCAGTCCCATAAACAAGAAAGGGGGCTCAAATAGAGTAGAATAAATATAGAGGATTCATGTAGTAAACCCCAACTAGTTTGGATTGAAGACATAGTTGAAAACAAGGTCATAAATAACTTGTTAATCCAATTGCTATTTCTAATTTGCTGTTTAGTCAGTAAAAGTGGTTCAATACAGGCATTGTGCCATACTCTGTTCTAATAACTTGTATCAATTCAGATCACACACACAGCCTAACAAACTGACGAAATCTACTAAGCCAAATATATAATCTAAAAGCTTATGTACCTTGCCGGAGCCAGCCATGGAGACGACGGGTCTGCAAGGTTTGTGAGAGGGCGAAAGGCGTAAGTGAGAGTCAACATTTTGGAAAAAAGAGTGAGTATTGTCAAGCTTGAAATTAGAAGATGGACGGAGACCAGAAAAGTGTGGTGGAGAGGAAAAGGAAATGGCAGATTTTGGACCAGAAAGTTGAGAAGCTAAAGAAGCTGCCATTTCCTAAACTGAAGATATTTGTAATGGCACCTTCGCTTATCTATCTGCTTCTTGTGTTTATTATTGGGCAAAACAAATTGCTGTTACTATTCGGAACATCTATATGTGTTATATCCATGTGTTTGGTTCACCGACTATGCCCGCTGATTGAAACTCATTCTGTCTAATCCATTCGTTCACTTTTATTTATTCACTATTTTAAAAATAATTTTTTTTTTAATTTTATTTTATTCTTAATGTTAATTACTTATTCTTATGTACACGTAAAAATGAATGGAAAGAATATATATTAAGATAATAATCAAAGTGATTAATGATTTTTCTTAGAAGGTGGTAAAATACTCATATGCATGTAAAGCTTGGTGCAGAGTTGTGGTATCTGGATGGATAAGGTTAAAAATGATTCTTATAGAATGGAAGGATATGTCATTTTCTAAGGCCACAAATTGATGGCTGCTTTAATCTCTTTTTCAAGAACAAGAATATAATTGGGACAGGATAGCATTGAACGTCCTCCTCTATTGGACACATGTTAATATCTTAAAGTGGTACTGGATTCTTGAGGATCTGTGGTGGAAAAAATTACTAATTGTAGATGCCTCTCAAGTCTTATCCATCATCTGAACCATCAATATTGTAAGCATTTATGGAGGAAGTTATCCACGTTAAGCATTAATTTTAGAGAAAGTGGGAATGAGACTTGGATCACTCCTAAGAATTAACATTTGCACATCAGCTACACCTAAAGGACACTATACAACAATTTACATACATATTTCCTGAAAAGTATGAAAGTAAATGTCATAATATTCAGAAACGTCATCATAAATAAAAAAAATCTATGAGGAGGATAGAATCTTGTGTATAATTAAGTCGTGGAAAACTAGGTCATATACTGCAAAGTTATAGACATTTCACTAAGACAGTCCTAAATGAATATAGACCCTCAACATTCAGAGAAGAGACGTCAAAGAAAGTATGACAATAAATTTCATTCCAAAAATTGAAAAGTCAAAGCAAGTGAAATGGACACCCTCCAAATAAAAAAGACAACATTTCATTCATGAAGCAACTATGATTACTTACATTGCAATCTAAATTAGACTTTCATAGCTATCAACAAAAAATTAAGAAAGTGGGGATGAGACTTGGATCACTCCTAAGAATTAGCATTTGAACATCAACCACACTTGAAGGACACTATGCAACAATTTATATGCAGGTTCTTTAAGAAATATGAAAAATATAACCTAAAAATTCAGCATAAAGTCATTTTCATATTTTTTATTGATCAATTACTCAGTTTCATGATTTATCGAAAAAAATAATTCTTTTAAAAAATTGTTGAATTTAAGGTTACTATATTTATTTGTGAATTTTTTGCGTTAATTTTATATTTTTTTCTTCATATTTTTCCTATTTTTATTAGTCAATTACTCATATTCGGGATTTATCGAAAAAAATTTGTTGAAAACGGGTCGGGTAGTTTATATAAAAGGGGGGTATATCTAGACCTTTTCGAATAGTTTAGGGGTATATTTGACCCCTTTCCCTTTAATATAAATGCCACGTCGTAATGTAAAAATGACGTGACAATTCCATTTGACATTTAACGCCAATAAGGGCATATCTAGACAAAAAGTTGGACTGCGATGACACAAGTGAACCAAACTTTAAACGGGGGTATATCTAGACCTTTTCGAATAGTTTAGGGGCATATTTGACCCTTTTCCCTAAGACTCTCTTATAAATTTGATTCAAGTAGATCATTTTAGATCCATTAAGAATTTTTATTTTTTTAAAAAAGAAACAAATGAACTTAATGAGTTTAATTTGAATGATTGAGATTTAGATCTAAAAATCAAACATACTGAATGGACTGGATCTGAATGATTAAGATTCAAACTTTTATTAAATACAAACAAATAAAGCCTAATGCACATCTTAATATTCAAATATGCATTAAGATTTAGACGTTTTAATCTTAATGAAAATAAATAAGGTTTTAATATTTTTATTTTTTTAAAAGAATAGGACAGCTAATTTTTCCATAAAAAAAACGTTGGTTAATTGGAAAAGTTAAGTTGGGCCCCCGTATTGGTTTGGTTTGGATGTCCGTATTTCGTAACACGAGGAGATTCACTTCCTATTCCTCTGTTTTACCGTCGCCGAAAAACGACAAAACTGCTGGTTTTGCTGGGCTTTTTTTGTCCCTCTTAGCTCAGCTCTACATTTCTGTTACCTCTCTCCTCTTCATCTTCATCTTCGATCTACAATGTCAATTAGGGTTTTCTCTGTTTTCCTCGCTCTCATTCTCTTCTCTTCATTATTTCTTCAAGGTTCGTTATTCTCAGATCCAGATCTCTCCTTTGTATATTCTTCAATGTCTTTTAATCTTTTGTGTGATCTTTGAAATTGACATTCAATTCGATGCAATCGACGTTTCTATTTACTATTAAAAGTTGAGATGCAATAGATATTCGAGATCACTGGCAAATATCAGCCTCTTTCTGTTTGTTTTTGAAATTCTTTTATGTATTTGTTTCCAATTATGTTATCGTCCTAGTTGATGTGGTGTGGGATGTGAATATGTGATTTGTCTTTGTTGAGTAAATCTGTCTCTGAATGCTAAGGCTACATACCTTGATAATCTTCTCCATTTAGAAACGGAAGTTTAATCAAAATTTAGTATTTGGAAATAAGTCAGAATTTGAATTGTGCTTTGGGTGGCAATAGTGGAAACGTTGTACTAGTAATGCTGTAGTTAAATTAACTATCTTTGATTTGATAGTATCATTTTATATATGACATGGGAAAGAACTGTTGATGCATGCATAGATCCCACCTAATAGAGTAGTTCAGTTGCTTGATTTTCAGGTTTCAGTTAGTTATTCTTGATGTTTGCATACCTTATTGATTATTGTCTTCTAGACTTTGGGCCTGATTATAGAAGAAAGATTACAGAGGATTTGTATGGCTGATATGCTTATTAGTTTGTCTGCTTTTGCAGTTGATTATTAGGAGGAGTTCCGTTTCAAACATTGGCCTATTATTTCCTGCATTTCATGTTGGTTTCTTATTGTTTTGATTTTCTTCATAGTTGCTAGATGTCAATCCGACCCTGAAACAGATGTGGTAGAAGGCACTGGAGAAGCAGGAGATCTTGGAATTGTTAATGATGATGTCCAAGATTTTGGCAGTGATAGTTTTAGTCCCGCACCTGGGATTGAGACGGTTTGTGTTTTCCCCAAAAACCCTTCTAAGGGTAAGTTAAACCCTTTCTGTTTTGTATCTTTATTCTTTGTTTTGCTTAAATGATAGTACTTAATAGTTTAAGAATTGCATCTCTCAGAACATATTTCTTCGTCTTTGCAGTAGTGGCAGCTGGTGAGGAAAGTGAGCTGTTAGTTGGATTGAAAAATGATGGTAATCCTTTTGTGTTTCAGTGGATTTATCCTTCCCTTCAAGTGCTTAATTTTAGTGATTCATTTCCCAATTTTGGATGCCTACTACAGGGGATTCAAGTTTGAATATCATTGCAATCCAAGCCAGCGTACACCTTCCTTTTGATCACCGCTATTTGGTTCAAAATCTGTCTGTACAGGTAATTGTTTGGATTTATTTTTTGGTAGAAATCAGGACACACTCTGCTTCTTCCATAATATTTGTGGTATATTATGTCCTTTATGCTGAAAGAAAAACTTCTTATCTCAAATTTATTTTACTTGTTATTTTGGTTCTTTAAGCTGGAATTTACCTATCCACTGAGTTTTGAGTTCTTCGGGTCACATTCAATCTTATTTAAGGTTTCTCCATGTTGACTTTTAACCTTAAGGTTAATAGTTTCCTTATTTAGCTAAAGTTTCATGCACTTGCTTTTGTAGCAAGCCAATTTTCAAGCAAGTTGTTGTCAGGGCCCTTAACTTTTCTGGTTTTAACAAATGGGTTGTTTTGATTTTCTTAAAAGTTGGTGGTCAGAAGACTTTGAACATTTAGTACACTTAATGAATAATAAGGTCATTATTTAATTTTTAGGTTAATTCACATTGATTTAGGATGACGAGAATGAGCAAGATCATTTTCAGTTTTACAATGTGAAAAATGAAAAAAATAAATTAAACATTTATGTATATGAAAATCTCCAAAATGTATTTCTATTTTAAAATGATATCAAGAATGACCAAGCAATAGACATGAATTGTGATTGCTCTGAGCCTCTTGACTTGCTCATAGAAAAGTTTAGATCACTACTACTTCACCCAAAAAGTACATTCCACTGTTTGTGCAAAGTCCAAGTTTAATGAAATATTACAGAAATACCCCAGAAACTGGAACGTTAATTATATTGTTATCTGTTCGACATGGACAGATAAAATATAAATTTGATAAAAGCTTCTGAAGTTGTGTAGGGCTTTCTATAAATTTTCTTATACAGAGTGTTTCATGGATTGCATGTTGTTGATTGTATAGTGTGTGTTGTCTGTTTTTCAAGCTGCACTAAGTTCAGTTGCCATTAATCTGTCCCTGACTCAATAGAATTGGAGTTAATAGTTGCTGGAATGAGCTCCTCCTATGAAGCTTGGGGGTGTGCTTTGCCGATAGTGGTGGCTAATTCAATTTTGATGGTGCATACTACATATCATTCAAAATGGATGTTAAATTTAAGGTGAAGCAGTTGAGACTAAGAATACCTACCCCCACCCGGAGGGGAAAAACAAGGGATGTGAGCTGGTTAGCTGCCAGTTGAATGAGCTTGTATACAAAACTCATTCTTCTCACGATTGAAACAATTTTTCCCCATTTGGGTTTTTGTCTTATTTCTTAATATGATTGCTCATTGGATATAATTTTAGGTTTATCATTAGTAGACTGTATATTACTGAAATTGATAAGTTCTTAAAGTAACACAAATGGTAAATTATTTGAGAAGAAAATACCACTTCAAGATTATCTTGAAAGTAAAGAAAAAAATTTATATGTCACAAGGGCAGCGATTGCTTATTTATGCTTTACAGGATGAAAGCTCCGGTGATCTTCTGTTGTTAATGTGGAGTTCTTGTTCAAATGAGTCTTCTA